GCCCTTAAAAGTTTTTTATGGTTCTATGTCTACACAAAATTATAAGGGGGAGAGTGATAAGAAACAGAAGCTGGGGGCATTGAATTGGGGGACAGTTGCATCAAATCTCTGAAAATAAGAGGGATCCAGCCAGGGAAAGGTTGGAGACATGAGCATTCTGGGATGTAGGTACAGCAAGTACAAAGGCCCTGGGGAAGGGATGGACTTGATGTATTCCACTGCATCAGAAGGCCAGAGTGAGTGAAACAGTGAATGACCAGATCTCATTGACAGAATGGAGGGTTTGGATCTTATCCTGGGTGTGAATGCCCTCTGCCAAGCTTCAAACCAGGAAGCCCCTTATCCCCAGGCACAGTCCTTGGTAGCGGGTCCAAGGGTTCAGGAGTGTGGCAAGCACAGGGGGACAGCAGAAGTCCCAGCTGCTGTATCTCAACCCTGACTCTGCCCCTTCTCCCACCACACCCAGACTGCCAGGACGTGGCCCAGGAGCACAGGGATGTGGGAGCACATGGGCCCATTGAGGGAAGTCGTATCCATGCTCTCCAGTGGTTCCACATAGCCAAGCCAGGTCCTGGACCACCCTGGGACACCCTGGATGTGTCTTTGGGTGTTTTTTGTTTGTTGTTTGGGATTTGGGGGGCGGGGGGGACAAGGTCTCACTGTGTATCCCAGGCTGCCCTTGGACTTGTCACAATCCTCCTGCCTCAGCCTCCTGAGTCCTGGGATTACAGGCATGCACCACCATGCCCGACATGGATGTCCCTTTGTAAAACCTCCAGGCAGCCCAGGAGCAGAGAGCTGGGTAAATGACAGGGTGGCAGCCAACCCAGGAGGGAGAGGTGGCACCAACAGCAGGACAATGGGCTCCTGGCACCTGCACAATGGATGATGCCCCTTCAGTCACTTCCTTCTCTTTCTGCCCCAGGGGCCTGCGAAGCCTCCCTAGCATGCTCCACTTGCCATGTGTACGTGAGTGAGGCCCACCTGGATCTCCTGCCTACCCCTGAGGAGCGGTGAGCAAGGAAGCCCCCCCCCCAGCTCTGGGGTCCTTGGGCTGCCAGTTTCCCCCTGCTGGGCCGTGTGCAAGCTGCTAACTGTGCCCTCCTTGCCACAGGGAGGATGACATGCTGGACATGGCACCCCTGCTCCAGGAGAACTCCCGCCTGGGCTGCCAGATTGTGCTGACCCGTGAGCTGGAAGGGGTGGAGTTCACCCTGCCCAAGATCACCAGGAACTTCTACGTGGATGGCCACATCCCCAAGCCCCACTGACAGGTGCAACAGAACCAGACCGGGATTGCAGTGGCTCTAGGACTAGGACTGAAGGAAAAGCCGAGGAGCCAGCCTGGTCCAGAGTGCAGACTCTGGGGGAGAGACAGGTCACAGGCACCGAGAAGCCCATAGCCCTGCAGAGGACAGATTCTCTGTCCAGGCTCTGGTGGGACAGGACCCCTGCTTGAGGTGCCTCCCCCAAGCTCCTGAGACTTGGAGTGTGAATAGGGATGGAATCACCTTACAGCTGCAATAAAACTGTGTTGCAGCTCTCCGGCATGTTGAGTGTCTTTGGGCTGCATCTGCTGCTCCCCTTCGAAGTGAGGGGGTCCCTGGGGAAGCTGAAGCAGAGGCCTGGACCCCCTCTTCTGTTTTTATGTTTTTAATTTTTTTTGGGACACGGTCTTGCTATGCAGTTTAGGCTGCCCTTGAACTCACTGTGTAGCCCAGATGACCTCCAACTTGCAGAGATCCTCCTGCCTCAGCCTTCTAAGTGCTGGGATTACAGGCATGCACCACCAGGCCCAGTGTGGGACCCTTTCTCTCTTCTGATAATGCTTAGCTCGCCCCACCCCTGCAGCGACGGAGGGATTTGCAGGGACCTGGAAGGGACAGAGGCCACCCGGGGCGTCGGGGGGAGGAGGTCACCCTGGACCCTGACGGAGTGCAGATGACCCGTGGAGGGAAAGGGGCACCGAGGGGACGCTGCCGGCCCCGCCCCACCCAGCTGTGGCTCTTTGCACCCTGGCTTCGAAGCACCCCGCCACCACCGCCGCCCACAGGTGGCGCCCATCCTCATCAGGGCTTCTCCGCGGGGGCGGGGCGGCTGAGGAGATTGGATCGGGGAGCTGGGCTGGCACCATGGAGGCTGATCCTGCCCAGGACCTGCTGCGGGAGCTGCTGGCGCCGTCCTGTCTGGACTCCGAGCCATCCCCGGGACCCTCGGCCCAGCGGCAGCTGCGGCCCCTGCGATGCCCCAGAGCCGGTGGCCGGTGGGTGAGACGCCCCTTCCCCCACCTCGCTGACCTGAGGAGTCCATGGCTCGATCTCGGGTTCCTAGGGTCACCCCGAGGTCATCGTGTTAGTTACTAGAACCCACAGAGGCGCGGTTCTGGGCCCGAGGGACACTTGGGGGTCATCTGATATCAGGACCCCGCAATGCCCCGCCCGCCCCCCAGTCTCTGGGGCTCCTATAGGAATGAATCACTGGGGGTTGCCCCCGGGTCACGGAGGGAAATCTAATAATGATTTAAAAAATCATAAATCAAGGGTGCTGCACAAGGTTCCATCCCTGCACCAAAAAAATAAAAAATAAATTTTTTAAAATGATAAAAGCAGCCAGGAGCCTGGAGCCCTGGTGGGTCCCCTAGGGTAAATCGTCCACTGGAATCACTGACTGATGGGGTGGTGGATTGGGCGGGAGGGCCCTGTTTGCTTACTTTGTAACTTTGAGAACTTCCAACCCCCCTGCACCCGCCCCAGGGCACAGGCTTAGCCAGAACAGGTGCCAGTGGGAACCCCAGAGTCACCTGGAAAGAGTAACGGCCAGGCCTCTCTCCCCAGGTCCCTCTGGCCTGTGTGTCAGGACTCGGTCACCATCCTGCGCCTTCTCCAAGAAACTGAAGAGGGCCAGGCCCGGGCGCCCACACCAGCCACCCAGGCCCTGGGGACCTGCTGGGAGCCAGGGGCCCGCAGGGTGTCAGGCCCCCTGACCATGGCCAGGAGCTCCAAGAACAAGCAGACCCCAGGAAGCCACAAGCGTCGCAGCAGGGACCCCCCTGGGGCACCTGCAGCACTCCCTCAGAGAAGGCCCCGAAAGCAGCCGAAGCCTCGCCAAGGAGCCAAGCAGGTGGACCCTGGGTTCAAGGGGGTGACTCTGAAGTTCCAGATTAAGGCGGACTCCAGCCTGCAGATCTCACCCACCTACAGGTAGGCGCTGTTGGGCGCAGTGCTCCTTGTGCAGGCCACCCTCAGTGAGTATGGCAAGGGCTGCAGGACCCCCAGAGACAAAAATCCAAGAATGCTCAAACCCCTTGTGTACAATGGCCTAGTGTTTCCACAGAACCCACATAGATCCTCCGATAAACTTTAAATCATCTCCCTGTGATGTAATATCAAATTCGGGGGCTCAGTAGTGTGCAGCCCTCGTCCCAGCACTCTGGGAGACTGAGGCAGGAGGATTTGAGCCCAGCCTGGTCAAGTTAGTGGCTTAGCGAGACCCTGTGTCAAGATAAAAATAAAAGGGCTGGGGGGCCGGGGATTTAGTTCAATGGTTCTGCTGCCTGCCTCGAAGGCACAAGGACCCGAGTTAAATTCCCGGTACCAAAAAAGAAAATAAATAAATAAAAGGGCTGGGAGGGCCAGGGATTTAGCTCAGTGGTTCTGCTGCCTGCCTCACAAGCTCAAGGACCCAAGTTCGATCCCTGGTACCAAAAAAAAAAAAGGGCTGGGAATGGATCACAGTGCAAAGGCCCTGGGTTCAATTCCCAGTACAGAGGAAAGAAAAAAAAAATACAGTATACTGGCTATGGTAATAGTTGTTAGACCGGATTGTTTAGGGGTACTAACAAGAAGTCTGGCTGGGGATTTAGCTCAGTGGTGCTGTGCCTACCTTGCAAGCTCAAGGTCCTGAGCTTTGTTGTTTTTTTTTGTCAAACTCAGGACCTTGGGCTTTCGAGGCAGGCGGTGGAACCACTGAGCTAAATCCCTGGCCCTGCAAGGTCCTGAGTTTTATCTCCAGTACCAAAAAAAATCTGTACCTGTCAGTACAGATGTGAGTTTTTCCCCAGATATTTTCAACCCGCATGTATGTTTCTTGTGGTTTGGTTTTGTCTTGCGGTGCTGAAGTGGAGCCCAGGACAACCCAGTGAGTACTCGGTGGGTACTGCATCCCTAAGCTACACTTGAAGCCCCTGCAGCTTGTGCTTTTATTTTGGTTTTGTTTTGTTTTGGTTTTTTGAGACAGGGTCTCACTATGTAGTCCAGGTTGGCCTCCAGTTCACAGAGATCCTCCTGCCTCAGCCTCCCAAGTACTGGGAAGATGGCCATGTACCACTGAATTTGGTTCTTCATCTCCCAGTCACAGGCCTGGTCTTCCAGTCAGGATTAGCCATACTTCCAGCAGTTGCTTTTATTTCCCCTAAAGTGATCTTCTCTAACATTTGTCAGCACTAAGAGGTAACAGGCTTTGAGGAAAGTAAGCTTCTTAGTTTTTATTTGTTTATTTATTTATTTATTATTTTATAGTACTGAGGACTGAACCAAGGGCCTTTGGAGCTACATCTCCAGCCCTTCTTTTTTTTTTGGTACCAGGGATCCAACTCGGACCTTTCCCTTACCAGGCAGGCGGCGAAACCACTGAGCTAAATCCCCAGCCCAGCCCTTCTTTTTGTTTTTTTTTTTGGTGCCGGGGATTGAACTTGGGTCCTTGCGCTTGCACAGCAGGCAGCAAAACCACTGAGCTAAATCCCCAGCCCGGCCCAGCCCTTCTTATTTTAAATTTTGAGACAGAGCCACTATAAGTCACTAAATTTAGTGGGCTGTATTCAAACCTGGGATACCCCTGCCTCAGCTTCCCAGAGTGCTGGGATCACAGGTGCATGCCACCACGGCCGCAGTTGGCTTATGTGAGCTTTTTAAAGCCTTGTAGGGCCGGGGATTTAGCTCCGTGGTTCCATCTCTTGCCTTGCAAGCTCAAGGACCCGAGTTCGATCCCTGGTACCAAAAAACAAACAAACAAATAAAGCCTTGTGAAGCCCATTTTGCAGATGAGAAAAATGAGGCCCAGAGAAGAGCACCTGTCGAGATCACACACTGTGGATGTGGGAGGCCTGGGATTCCAACCTGGCAAGTTGCCCCAGGCATCCTGCTCCTTAAAATAACTGTAATTATGCCAGGAGTGGTGGCATGTGGCTGTCATTTCAGCACTCTGGAAGGCTGAGGCAGGAGGGTCACAAGACTGAGCCCAGTCTGAACAACATAGCGAGACTCTGTCTCAAAGTACAAAATAAAACATGTTGGAGGGGCCAGGGATTTAGCTCAGTAGCACTACACCTACCTTGAAAGTGCAAGGTCCTGAGTTCAATCCCTGGTATGGGAAAAAAAAAAGTATGGGATGGAACTCAGTGCAAAGGCCCTGGGTTCTGTCCCTGGGCTGCTGGGTACCTTGGTATCACATTTTCCTTTTGGGGGGCTTCGGGGACAGGATATAGACCCCCCAGGCTAACACTTTGCCTACCTCCAGCCTAGCCAGCAGCAGCCAGACTGAGGGAGCTGCCTCAACCCCCACCAGGGCTGCTGAGCCCAACTCCAGAGGCGGGGAGGCCCTAGGTGAGTGAGTCCTCGAGGCAGGAGAGCTATAAATATTTGGGGGGCCAATTTCCCATCTCCCCAGTCACTCCCTGCCCCCCTTCCCCCACCCTGCTTCCCCATTTAGCCAGTTCCCCCAGGCTGAGTCACCCCCACCCCCGGCTTCCTCCCGCCAACACTGGCTCCGCCATCTGTCTCTCTTCCCGGCCTACTCTGCCACCATCCAGAGCTGGAGGCCTTCACAGAGATGCTCACAAAATCCTCTCCAATTCAGGCTCTGGGCCTCTGACGCCTCCCCTTTGTTGACCTCTGATCCTGCAGGGCCTCGGTGCTGTGCTTCCTGCAGGACCCACAGGACGCCTCTCTGGAGAGATGCTGAAGACGGGACCCCTCTCTGTAACGCCTGTGGTATCAGGTCCTTAGCACAGCAGAGGGAGTTGGGGCGGGGGACCCCAAATCAGTCCATATGTGGTCAGTGTGGGGTGTGAGGGAAGTGCACTCAGGAGGCTGAGGCAGGAGGATCACTGCGAGTTCCAGGCCAGCACGGGCTACATAGTGAGACTCTCTCAAAAAGACTACCCCCCCAAAAAAAATCCTCCAGAAAACCAAACAGCAAAAATATACCTCTTAGGTGACCGGGGATTTAGCTCAATGGTGCTGCCACCTGCCTCACAAGTGCAAGGTCCTGAGTTTGATCCTCGGTACCAAGAAAATATATATATACCTCTTAGGGGAAACAGTTATCTTGTGGCAGTTTCTGGGCACCTGCTGCATTCTGTTAATTTTTTTTTTTTTGGTACCGGGGATCGAACTCGGGACCTTGCGCTTGTGAGGCAGACGGCGGAACCACTGAGCTAAATCCCGGACCCACCTGCTACACTCTGAATGGTGGTTTCTTGTACCCCTACCCCAGGTACAAGAAATATGGTACCCGCTGCTCCAGTTGCTGGCTGGTGCCCCGGAAGACTGTCCAGCCCAAGAAGCTGTGTGGCAGATGTGGGGTATCCATGGGCCCCCTCGAGGGCCCACCTCAGGCAGTGTAAACTGTTCTTCACCCAGCTGAGCCCATTCTGCCTCCCTCAGTTTCCCCAGGGAAAGAAGGGGCAGAATCCCAGGAGTGTTGAGATCCTGCCTGCCTCCTCTCTGCTGCCTCCCATGCAGGGGTCGAAGCAGGATGATGCAGGCCTCAGCCCCGGAGCCCCTGGCCCGGGGGAGCCACTGGCCCCATTCTGCCCCTTTCCCAATCAGGCTTGGCTGGGCCCCAAATAAAGGAAGTTCTCAGGACCCATCCGTGTTATTTGCTATAAGCACTGTGATAAAGGAGGGCTGCTCAGAGGGAGAGCAGTGTGGTCTGGGGTTCCCATCTTGAGTACCCTATCACACTTGTGGTGCTCATAGTATTTTTGTTGGGTTCTTTTTGGTACCGGGGATCGAACTCGGGTCCTTAGCTTGTGAGGCAGGTAGTGGAACCACTGAGCTAAATCCCCGGCCCCTGTCACACTTTTGGAAAGGAGGGAAAAAGACATCTTTCTTTTTTTTTTTCCTGTGTGTATCATTTGAGGTTGAACCCAAGGCCTTTGCACTGACTTCCATTCCCAGCCCTTTTTTATTTTTTCATTTTGAATTAGGGTCTCACTAAGTTACTCAGTTGCCCAGGCTGGGTTTGCACTTTCGGTCCTCCTGCCTCAGCCTCCCAGGATGCTGGGATCATAGTTGTGCACCACCACGCCTGGATAGAGAAGCTTCTCATTGGACACATGAAGGTTTCTGTGTCTGTAAACACATGGCTGTTTTTCTCCATTTATTCCACATTTATCAAGCAATTACTATGTGCCAGACCCCAGTGGGTACACTCAGTGGTGAATAGAAAGAACAAAGACCCAAGTGTGGTAGCAAAAACCTGTAATCCAGCACTCTGGGAGGCTGAGGCAGGAGAGCTGCAAGTTTGAGCCCAGCCTGGGCAACTTATCAACGGAGACCTTGTCTCAAAAAATAAAAAAGGAACTGCTAAGGCAAAGACCCTGTGGCAGGCAGGATTTTGTGGGGTCCCAGGACAGCTGGGGTATACCTCAGGTAGAGCACTTGCAAAGTATCCAAGCCCCTGGGTTCAACCCCAGCTAGGCGTGGGGGGCTTCCTGCTGGTTTCCTGTTCCCCTCTTTGCCCATTGTGCACATGGCAGCCAATGGGGGTTGGAGCTGCCTGGCCGACTTCCTTCTCAGAGACCCAGCACTCTGCTTTTGAGGGAGCAGAGAGGAGAAAGAGGGGGAGGAGCCCCAGCTGTTCTTTCCTTCTGCTGTCATCTGCTCTGAATCATGTGTGCCCAGTGGAAAGACAAGGAGGGGGTAAACTGAGGCACTGTGAAAGACACAGGCTGCTCCTGAAGGCATCGAGGATGGGGCAGGAGTGTGCCCTTCAGGAGGGACATCCTGAGAGCTGACAGTCACAGCCACCTGGGACCCTCAGGGGGACCCTGCCTGTCCAGGCAGGCCAGCCTGGCTTTCCTGGTAATCAGGCCCAGGGAAAGCACCTGAGCTCCTACCGCTAAGACTTCCTTGGTCAAGGGGCAGCACTGGGTGGAAGAGATATGGACAGGAGGAGGAAGAAGAGGGAGCCACACCCCTGCCCAAGGGTCCAGTGATTGCTGGAGCCTGGTACAGCAGCTGAGTGCCAGGTCACAAGGCACAGATGGCTTGGAAAGTGCCTGCCACACAGTGGACTCTTAAAAAGAAAAAACGAAAGTTTTGAATGAATAATCCTCAAGGTGGGACTTCAACCACATCTCTCCACACTGTGAAAACAAGCCGGTAATCCCGGTACTCGATCCACAAGTTCGAGGCCAGCCTGGGCTGCATAATAAAATCCTGTCTCAAAATAAAATATATATGTTAAAAAAGAAAAAGAAAGGGAGGCTGGGAATGTAGTTCAGTGGGAAGGTCCTGGTTCAATCTGTAGTGCCCTCCTCCCCCCAAAAAGAAAAGAAATGGCAGCCCAGAGTCCTTTATAAAAACTTTATTGGGGGAGCTGGGTAGAAAACGGGGGTGATGCCCCTGCAGTTGAATAAATAAATAAATAAATAAATAATAAATAGAACAGTAATAAGCCCCCTTTGGCGTGTGGGGGCGACCCCCGGCCCGCGGGGAGAGGGGAGCAGCTCACGCAGATGTCAGCTGGATGGCGAAGACCTCACCCCCTGCCGGGGACTCAGCGGCTGTGTCCCCCGCCTCCTCGTTGCCGCTGGCCGCGCCGCCCGCGCCATTGAGACACACGGCCTCACCGGAGCTCTCGGCCTCCTGCACGTTGTACTCGCCCTTCTTGCACGCAGTGGAGCGCACGTACAGGGCCAGGCCCGCTCCCGCGGCCAGCAGCGCCGCGCCCCCCGCCGCGCCGCCCACGGCGACCCACAGCCAGGGACCTGCGGGCAGGACCGAACCCCGAGGTCAGTCAGTCCCGTGCGCCTGCCAGGGGCGCCCCAGGCAACACGGGAGGACCCCAGACCCAAGTCACAGCCTGCTCAGCTGGGGGGTTGAGCGCTTGAGCCCGGAGTCTGGACACCAGCGTGTGCCTCTGCCCCAGACAGACCCCAGCCCCAGGAGCTGCACGTCGTGGGGGAGCTACCCTTGGCCTTTCTCCAAGCCCCTTTTCCTGCGGAGACATAGTGGCCAGGGAAGAGGCTCACGTGTGCCCCGATTCCAGAACGCACTCCAAGGTTTTGGGTTTGGTTTTGGTGTTTGAGACAGGGTCTCACTACGTAGCCCAGGCTGGCCTCCAATCCAGGCGATCCTTCCAGTCTCCCGAGTGCTAGAATTACAGGCCACCGGGTATGTGCCACCATATTCTGATTTTGTCTTTTTTTTTCTTTTGAGCCCATGGCCTCAAGCTTTCTGGGCAGATGCTGTACCGCTGAGCTGCATCCCCAGTACAGCCCCACCCCTAGTTAATAAGCCCTTCCCCACAGCAGTCACAGCCCTGAAAGGTCCTGCCCCTGTTCCCAGTCTCTACCACTGCTTCCCACCTCTAACCTGCCACCAACAGCCCCTCCTTTAGGTGCCCTCGATTCCCCCCCCTACACACACACACAGGGTCTCCCCATGTAGCCCAGGCTGGCCTCTAACTTGAGGCATTCCTCCTGCCTCAGCCTCTGAAGTGCTGGGATGACAGGCGTGCACCACCACACCTGGCTCCCTTGATTTCGACTTTGGCCCACATTGGTGTCATCTGTGGTAACAGAGTCAGAGATGGGGTCAGAGCCCCAAGACTCAGGTCAAGCCTCCTGCAGAGCCCTATCCCACCCCGAGCTGCCACTTACCAGCCACACGCACCATGATGCGCCGTGCATGACGTCCATGTGCGTTGGTGGCTGAGCATTCATACTCGCCGCCGTGGCTGCCCAGGGCTCCCGCCACACTCAGCGTGCTATTGTTGCTGGACAGGCCGATGTTGGAAGCCCCGGGGGGCGCGCGCCAGCTGATCTGCGCTGGAGGCCATGCCTCAGCGCGGCAGGTCAGGGTGAAATTCCCGCCAGGCCTCACGCTAGGGGGCGAGGCAGCCAGCTCAGCCACCACTGGCCGGTCTGCAGGGGACAAAGGTAAATGGGTGAAGGGGCTTAGCGCTGGCCCACAGTTGACCAAGTGCCATTGGCCCACTACCGTCGGTCAGAGATCACCCCTTTCTGGATGAGGACCCCTCCTCAAGCCTATTGTTGGAGACAAGAATTCTGCCCCAGCCAGGTGTGGTGTTGTATGCCTATAATCCCAGCACTCTGGGAGGCTGAGGCAGGACAATTGCAAGTTTGAGTATAGCTTGGGCAATTTAGTGACTTAGTGAGACCCTGTCTCAAAATAAATGAAACAAAATAGTGGCTGGGGATCCAACTCAATGTGAAGGCCCTCGGTTCAGTTCTCAGTACCTCCCCCAAAAAGTTAAAATTAAAAATCTTAACCTTCTTACTGAACGGGAGGTGAGGCCCAACACCAATCTTGAGCCGGCATTTGAGAGGGGCTGACTTCCTGTTCCCTAGACTTCCCGTTACCCCCAGGTTGACACAGGCATTCTCTGTCCCCAGTCAGGGACAGAAGAGGTTCCCTCAGCTCCCGAGGACCCTGCCACCCCCGTCGGTCCCTTTCCCAGTACTGAGTCCAGTCCATCCCGTGCGGGCCTCACTCACATTCCACACCCACAGTGATGGTCCGGGAGTCCATGCCATGGGCATTGGTGGCCTCACAGCGGTAGATCCCTGCGTCCTCCCGGGACACTCTCGGCCGCTCGGGTTGGGGTGCACCCTCACGCAGGCAGCGCACGCGTGGGGATGGGCGGCCCCGGGCGGCACAGGCTAGCGCCGCATCTCGAGCCCCTTCCAGCCACGTCTGGTGACTGGGGCAGGTGGTCTCGTCCATGTGAGGCGGTGCTGCAAAGCGTCCAGGAGGAGGGGTCAGGGGAGGTGCTCTCAGGGACACCCCCTCCTTCCCGCCCACCCGGGCCCCGCTCACACTCCGCGCTCACGACCACGGTTTTGACCGAAGAGCCGTGGGGGTTGGTGGCGTTGCAGACGTAGACCCCGGGTGGCAGGTCACTAGGGAGAGAGGGGCCTCGGGCGCTGGGTTTGGAGAAGACCAGCGGCAACACCACCCCCTTGTTGGCGTCCTCGGAGCCTGCGCACTCCACGCTGGGCTGTGGCTTCCCATCCACCTCACAGGAGAACAGAGATCCGGATCCTTCCACCCATGTCCAGTTGCTGGGGCAGCCCCGCTCCTCAAAACTGGGGCCATCTGCAAAGCAGGGAGCCCTGGGGTCACATGGGAGACAGACAGGAATCCCGCCCGGGGGTGGCCTCGAGGCGCCCCTACTCACACTCCACGGTGATGGCTACAGTTTTGGCCACAGAGCCTCGAGTGTTGGTGGCCTCGCAGTGGTAGGTGCCCGCGTGCTCCCGGGCCACACGCAGCAGCCCCTCCACTGCGTCAGCCTCACCAGAGCGCATGCAGCTCACGTCGGGGGCAGGGACCCCATGTGCCACGCAGCTCAGCGATGCCTCGGTTCCCTCCACCCAAGTAATGCGATCCGGGCACCCCACAATGTCCAGCGCCGGCGCATCTGGAATAGGCCATGTGGCGCTGGTTTTTGGGACCGATCTGATGTCCCTCTGCATCTCAGGACCTCCAGGAAGGGGTGGGCAGAAAGTGCCCTGGGTGGGCGGGGACGCTGACCCCACTAGTGTCCCACTACATAAGCCTTGCTAACCTGTGTTTTGAGGTTTTTTTCTTTCTTTTCCCTTTGAAACATGGTCTGGCTATGTAGTACAGGCTGGTCCCGAACTCACAGCGACCCTCCTGTCTCAGCCTCCTGAGTGCTGGGATGACAGGGTGAGCCACCAAGCTGGGCTCCTACTTCAAGAATTTTCCTGAATCCAGATCGCTCACCAGCTGGTTCCCTTTCTCAAAATCCCGCCCTAAGGCACACTTCAGAGCCTAGGCCTACACTTCTTGTAAGGTACCCACCAGGCCCAGGCCCTGAGAACCCGAAAGCAGCGCCACCACGCGCGGCCCCACTCACACTCCACGGTCAGCGTCACGTCCTTGACGGCCGTGCCCTGCGTACTGGCGGCCCTGCAGCGGTAGGTGCCCGCCAGCGCGCGTGTCACTGGGCCCGGCCGGCCCAGCGCCAGCACCGCCCCGCTGTCCGGCCGTGCGCAGTGCACCGAGGGCTCCGGGTTCCCGCGGGCGTCGCAGCGCAGCGTCTGCTCCGGGCCCTCGGGCCACGTCCAACTCCTGGGACAATCAGAGTCGTCTAGCCGGGGGGCGTCTGCGGGCAAGGGTCCGAGAGGCTAGAAGTGGCGAATGAGGGATCGCCCCGCTTCCCCGACATGGTCAAGACTGGGCAGGTCATCCGAGGTCGCCAACTCACAGAGCACGCGCAGCTCAGTGCTGTCGTTCTTGCTAAGCGTCTCCCCATCCACCTCGAGGGTGGCATAGCAGACGAAGTCGCGCCCGTCGTCGTTCTCGGTCGCATTGAGCTGGAGCTGGACAGGTTGTCCCGGAGCTGCAGCTGGAATTCCCTCCAGGGTGACCAGAGCTTGAGTCCCAGCTGTGCAAGTTACTGTCACCATCTGCCCCTCAGGCGCGCTGGGCTTGCTCAGGGTCAGGAGCGGCGCGGGGAAACCTGAGGACACAGGATCGGCCCTCCTACAGGGTAAGCTCCGCCCCTTCTCTGCCCGAACCCTTCTACAGCTTCTAACAAACCGAGGCCCCGCCCTTCAGGATCCGCCTCCCCAGTGATTCACGTTCATCCTCTGTCTGCTCCGCCCCTTAGGAACTCCGAGGCCTGCCCACTATTGGCCGCGCCCACGCGCCCCTGGCCCCACCCCCAGCGGCCGAGGCCCTGCCCCATTCTTCTTACTGTAGACTGTAACGTTTTCCTGGACCTCGCGGCTTTCGCCCCCTAGGGTCACGTTGCAGACCAGCTGCCTGGCACCCTCCTGCTCTGCGCTACTGGTGGCTGTGGTAGTGGCCGTGAGGGTGTCCCCCTCGAGAGTGACATCAGGATTCAGCCTCTGATCTCCCAGCGCGAGGTAAACCTCAGCCTCTGGGGCGGGAAAGAGTTTGCCCAAGATGCAGCTCACTGGACTTTCTGAGCCCACTTCTAAGAGCCTGGGACCAAGGAGGCGCGGGGGGTCTGGAGACAGGGCTAGGAGTGGAAGAACAGAGCTTCAAATTATTACCATGATTATTGCTTTTGTGAGACAAGGTCTCGCTATGGAGCCCAGGCTGGCCTAGAGCTCACAGGGATCCTCCTGCCCCAGCCTCCCAAGTTCTGGGATGACAGGTGTGCACTGCCGCGCTCAGCTCAGAATTTGAACCTATATACTGAGCACTCGATGTGTGCTAAGCCCTTAACATGCACATCTTGTATTATCATCCTGAAGAAGCAGACAAAATCAAGCCAGCTGCTGAGTGCTGAAGTAAGGATTATCATTCAGATATATGTGCCTCTAAATTTCTTCGACATCTGCCCGGCCTCGAATGCATGGGGTCCCCGCACCCACTCACTGAAGGTTCGGAGCTGTATGGGCTCCGAGGTGTTTTCAAACAGCCCCAGGCCGTGCGGCCGCAGGTCCAGCTCCGCGCGGCAGGAGAAATTAGCTCCATGGTCCTCCCTGCGCGCCAGGACCGTGGCGGTGAGCACCGCGCCCCGCGCTCGGGGCGGCTCCCCCGTAAAGCTTCGGCGAATCAGCTCTTGGGCGCCCCGCAGTAGGGTCAGCGTGAGGCTCCCGCGGGGTCCGGCTCCCGGGACCCTACAGCTCAGGGTGAAGTTTTCGCCCACCGGCTGCCAGGAAGGCAGTGGCCCCAGCTCCACGCGATCCGGCCTCTCTGCAGGGAAGGAACTGCTACCTTTGGAAATGCTGGAGCTTGGGGAGCCCGGGCTCAGACGCGAGGGCGTGGGGATCCAATGGGTGGAGTCCGAAGGGGAGGACCCCGGGGTCCAGGGGGCGGGCCAGGAAAGGGAGGGAAAGTATTGGTGTGGAGCGCGGCCACGAAGAACTCACGGAAAGTGCGGATGAGCCCGCGCGCCTGCAGCGTGCGCCGCGCGCAGCGGAAGAAGCACACGGGCTGGGTCTCTGGCTCGCGGATGTCCACTAGCTGCCGCGCCAGCCAGCGCAAGCCCCTCTGCGTCCCGTTGCGGCGCAGCGAGGTCTCCAGGCCACCGCGCTCTGGCCGAGGGCAGTTGGTGCTGCAATTCAGCCACAGAGAGCCCCCGCGCTCCACGAGCGCCACACGGGGCTGCAGGTCCGCCCAGAAGGGCTCCTGCGCGACCGCTGCCCGGGGAAACGCGGGCTCAGCCTGGGGAACCAACCCCCTGAGATCTCGGCGCCCCTACGCCGAACACAGGGCTTCCCCAGGACCACCAGGGGTCGCGGTCCAGAAAGAACCCAGGAGTCCTAAGTCCTGCCCAGGCCTCAGATTTGGAGGTGTTCTCCGAGTCCGGACCTCGAGGGTGGCTCTGCCACGGAGATCCCCGAGGCTCCGAGGAAGTGGCGGGGAAGAATGGGAGAAGGGAGAGAGGAGCGGAAAAATGGGGTCTCGGGTGCGCACAGCAAGGCTGAGAGGGAGGAGGGGACTCCGGGTGGGGGATGGGGATGGCGCCTGTTCTTGAGGTCCTGGCAGATCGCCAGGAGAGGGAGAGGCTGAGGTTGGGGCGAAGGCAAGGGAGAGGGGAGGCCGGGTCAAGGGAGGCCGCCAAATGTGGGTGAAGAACATGGAAATAAGACACGGGGTTGGACTCGAGGAAGGAACCCTGGGAACGGCAGAGGGACGGGGTTGCCAGGGACCTGGGTGGAGCGGGAACAGCGCGTGTGAATCACGATAGTTGAGGCTCTAGATGGGGTCTTTGCGGATCGCTGGGGGGAGTGTGGGATGCCAGTCCGTGGACCCCGGTGCACCATGGAGCGAGAGGGGCCTCCCGGGGAGGGGATGGGAGCGCCCCAGGGTCTCCAGGGCGCGCGGTTGGGCTCAGAACACCTGGATCTCCAAGGGGACAGGTAGAGACTCAGGAGAGCAGGAGTTGAGAAGCTGGGTCTCCGTGTGTATCGGGGGAGGGAGATAGCGGCGAGCACCCAGGCTCCAGGTGCGGGCAGAGGCGTGGGACGAGCAGAGGGCGGAGCCGGGAGGGGCGCTGGGACGCTGCTCGGGTCCAGCAACTCCGCCCCCGCCCTGGGCGCCCGGAGCCGCTCTTACCTGCGAGGCCGAGGATCTTCAGGCCCAGGGCAGCCCAGAGGCCGAGTAGCGCCCGGCGCAGCCCTGGCGAAGGCCCTGGCATCGCCGCCGCGGGGGAAGCGCAGGAGGCGAGGGGAGCTCGAGTGACGAGCAGGGCTAGAGGACTGCGCGGCGCGGCGGGTGGAGTGTGGGGGAGGCAGAGTTGCGCCAGGGGATTGGTTTAAACGTTGGTAACTTGGTTTCCAAGGAGGGGGCGGCGGCAGAGGTGCGGGG